CCAATGTCACAAGAAAGAATGCAAACCACCTCAATTACAGATCCACATTTGATAGAGCGAGGGAGAAAACACAGTGTCCAGAAAGATATTTGTGGCTAAATGCAAATTGCTCTCGTGTTTGGCAGCTATATGGACCAATTATTGTCAATGGTAAAAATAAAAAAACACAAATAAATGAATACATATATAGGTATTAGAATGTTATCATGAAACAGTTATAAGATCTAATAGAAAATTGAACTCATTTTTCTGATCTAAAAAGGCAAAATAAAACTGGGCGCTCAGAGTTAGAATCGTGCTGTGGATAGGCGGGATGGGTAAACGAGTCGTCAAGACGCATGGTGGGGAGTATATGAAAATAATCAGAGTTATTTCTTGATAAAATAGGAATAACAGGTGAATGCAGAACAATTAATCTGAAGAGTATACAGACGCACACACATGATACACATACACCAAAGTACATACACGAATTGCAATAAATGACGCCAATTAGTCAAGGGGAGAAACAATTGCTTTAAGATGCTGTCGTTGCAATCGGTGATGAGACGATAGGGATTGGTTCGAAGGACAAAATTAAGCGTAGTGAAGAATACAATGGCAGGAAGTAAGCTAAAAATAGATTTAAAAAATTAACCAACGAGCTCTGTTATATGAACCGATCAAGAGAATTGTAATAAACGAGACGATCATTCTGGAAGGCTCTATGAAGTGGTATTTAGCGGGAACAGAAAGAGAATCAGCTACCAGAACTTCGGCATATCGATAATAGGTACAAGTGAGCATTAAGTGAAACAGGATAAGAGAGACAGAACTCAAAGCTATGTATATTTCGATGACTAGTAGAGTATTTCCTGTTCTGCCAAACAGAACGATTCAGGCCTAAATGATATGACACAGCAACGGAATGAGCAGAGCTTAGAATTATATAGTGCGCGAAAAGTAGGTTAAATTATCCTTCGGGAATAAATTAGTTAAAATGTACATAAAATACACCATCACAAAGATGTGCTTGAACTAGCACACAAAGTTATTTACACAAATTAGCCTAATAAACTGTGCAGGCCGATACATACACACAGGCACATAAAATGCATGTAGTATGGAGTAAAGTGAGGTATGAGGAGAGGACAAACAAACAAGTATAGACTAATATAAATGTGCAATCCAGAAACTAAGGTCCAGTTTAGATTGAAATTCTCTTAAGGTCTGGTCTTGGATCAAGGTAGCCAAAAAAGGATCACAAAAAGAAGGTAGCCAAAAAAAGGATCACGAAAAGAAGGTAGCCATGCTTATGGTCAGTTAGGTAAAGATGACTGCATCTATAGGAATAGGGGGAAGCTCAGAAGGGGTGACTGACGAAGAAAAGCTGTGGCGCCAGCAGTAACCACACATACAATTGTTCGCAAACAGACCGATGGGAAAACGCAAACGAACTGGAACATACAGAGACATGCAAGAAAATAGTTATCACAGATTGAAGGAAGAGATCATGAGTTGTTGATTCTCGAATTGAAGCACAAAAGTGGTGATCAAAGTTTGTAGAAAGGGGGAGTAAAATCTGAGTTTGAATGTTAGCCTGTCCCAAAATAAGGGCCAAACAAGATAATGATCTGAATGTACTACAGCCCTGATGAGGTTAATAAAGATGCAGAAATCTGAGTGGGATTTGTTGCCAAGGTGAATCTCAAGTGAACTTAGAAAGTAGGAGTAACCGAAGGTTCCGAGAGCTAAGAAGCTGAAGGGAGCAAGGAAAAGAGAAAACCTTGAGGAGTGTCAATTTTCCATGTAAGTTGAAAGCACTAGCAGAGTAAACTCACAGCCTAAAGGCATGCCAAGGCAAGTGACTAAGCAAAATAGCACTAATAATAATAATAATAATAATAATAATGGCATTAGCAATTGTGGAATTAAGGAGAAAGAGGAGAGGGAATGAAAAGAAAGCACAAGAAGGATCGTTTGGCGGGAAAAGTAAAGCCGAAAAAATGACAAGGATACTTCTCGGCTGATGGATACACAAGTTTTCCATAGACTGACTGCACACATGTCGAGTGGTTACTGACCGAGTGACGGGGTGGTGACGGTTAGTGAGTGTGGAGACATGCAGAAGACTCTTGGATGAAGTAGTCAAGTTATAAGAATTAACGGAACACAAGTCTAGTGTGAGTGCAAAGTAAGGTGAACACGTGTATCTACGCAATTGTCAATTGCAAGGGCCTGGCAATGTTAGTCTGAGTTCGCATATTATAGCAACCATGTCTAATGCTAATACCAAGACAAATGAGAAAGTGACACGGTTGGGCTGTACCAAAAAATCACCCTGAACGAGCCCAGCATGAGAAAATATTGGCCGGTTTTAGAGCGAGATTAGCAGATATGCAATCAAATTGAAATAGAGAGAAGAGAGCTGCTAAGAGGGCAAGAAATGATATGATGGACAAAGAGGGGTTGACAAAAGAAGAACTTAAGGTGCCTTGAGAGCAATGAAGCAGCTGACCGACGCGCAAGTAAGATCTGGAAAGAGTAGTAGGTAGTCCAAAACAGAGTTTGAGTGGATGGCCGATGCCATTTAAAAAAGAAACAGAAGAATAGCCATGTTAAGTTGCCGCAGAATAGAATGAAGCTTACATCCTACCATCAAAATATACACACTTCGAGTGGGCTCAATAGACAGCAGTATCACTGGAAAGGGTGAACAAAGTGGTTCTTCCACTCAGAACACTTGCCGCAGTTTGTGGGATCATCATGGTAAACAACATTTTTTTACAGATCAAAAAAATAGAGCGATGTAGGATGATCTCCGGAATGGTCGCATGTAGCAATGGGGCGAAAGGGGGGTCATCAATTTCTGAAAAAAAAACATAAATTTAGATATTAAATTTACATGTAAACAACAAAGATATACTTAAATAAAATGTCCTGGCAGATGAGAAAAAGATGTGAAATTACAAATCACCATATAAGCCAGGAGAATATCTGACGAATTGTAAAAGAGATAAACAGAAGTACAGTGGAAGCAGGTGGAGTAGCCAAAACTGGCAATTCCAAAATGTACACTTGCACATAATCTTCGATAAGCCCTATCTTTAGCCATACCTCACCTGACACTTGTGCTCCCTTCAGCTCTCTCTGCTTCCGTTAGGTATCCCATCGAGTTCTCTTCACCGGGACCATTTCACCGGATAGACTATCGAACAAAGTGGCGGACTTTGGAGTCGAGCCTAGATAGAAGAGGCCTGTGGTAAAAGCACTGATGCCGGGACTACTGACCGGTGCGAGGCTGACAAGTCCAGCCTGCGAGAACACGCTGCTATGGGCCTCATTTGCACTGGATAAACGCATGTTCTCGCCACGAGGCTCTATGTGGCTGACTCGATCAAGAGGGTCGGGAGAGTCCATTGGCTTTGGCAAACCATCATCTGTTCGGGACTGGGAATTTGATCGCTGGAAAAGGAGGCTGGGAAGATCGGACTCAAGAATAGAAGAGACGACGGCGGAATTTTGACTTGTCCCTGGTTTGTTAAAAGAGAAGTAGTGAAAAGATACTAATAAAGACGATATATCACTTTATAGATGCGCGATTTTAAATAGTCATTTTATTCTTTTCCAGAGCCTTAATAATATTTAACCTTTTTAGACCTGAGGCTGTAAGCGATAAACATGAAATCAGTTTAAATATTTTTTCCTAAGACCCCGGCTTCTCTATTGTCAGACGAAGACAATTATGTATAGAACTAAATAATATACCTCCTAAATATATAAATATTTATATAAGAACACTTACTGGCTCATATATATATATATATATATATATATACATATATAAACTAATTTCAGGCTTGAAATAGTTAAAGGAAATTGTTCCAAAATTGCTGAAGCCCTGTATATGACATTAAAATAGTACATCACGTCTAACTCAGAGCCTGAGGCGGACTTCCTGAGGAATTCTTAGACATGGACGTCCCAGTAAAATCAAACAACAGATACATTCTCGAAATCACACAATTTAGCATATCATGACTATCAATCCTATTAGAATTAGTTAATTGATAGATGTGCGTAGATTGAATTGTGCTTCAATTTGTATGTACTAAAATATATGCCCATATATATATACGAAAAAAACGTCAGTTCAACTCATCATTTGTGGGAAAATTCTACTTCTACCAGTCCTTCATCACCTTAAACGAAATTGGGTGAATACATCTTATAAGTTAATATGGATCAACTTAGATTAGTGAGGCATCATTCGGCTATAGCGGCCTGACAAGAGGTTCTATAAACAATCCTTTAGTAAAATTTTTGGTAAAAAAAAATTGTTATCAGAACTGCATTCAACCTGATTCATTTAAGGAGATGAAGGACCAGTAATTGAGTTTTCCCACAATGATATAAATAGGCCTAATGTTACTACTGAAGTTCATATAGTCTTGTTTCCAAGGTGTTTTCTTTCGGACTGCAGCTTCGGCCTCGCCTGAACTGGCTGATATAACACGGACAGTAGGACTCGCATCCGCGTCGATTCGAGGAAAGTTTAATGGAAAGATCAGATCTAATCATAATATTGTGGGAAAATTCAACTGTTAATCATTCATTACATTAAACGAAGTAGAACGAATACAGCTCTAAGATAAGATGTACTAGTAGTTTAGAAAACCTAATTATAAGTTGAAAATAAGTTAAATCAAACGTATGAAGACTAAGATGGTGTGTCATTTAGTATAGCCGCGGTTTCTTTTCATTGTATATAATTTATTTGACCTTGCTTTCGCAACTTGTTCGTATTGCCAAGGAGACGCACCTAGTCCATAGTCCATAGTATGCATGATAATTTCCAGAGTCGGACCATGGACTTGGTACATTCCCAGACGTTTCGTCAGCATCGTAGTCGGATAGACCTCTGGGAATGTACCAAGTCCATGGTCCGACTCTGGAAATTATCATGCATATTATGGACTCTGGATTAGATGCATCACTCTAGGTCTTACTGACAATACGACCAAGTCGCGAAAACAATGTCCAACAAGTTCTATAAAAATAAATAAATTATAATCTTCGAAGGTAGACGGCCTTATAGGGAGGCATCAAGGAGACAGCAGTCATGCAACATTAGCATGCATTTTGAAAAAATTGGTTGGAAGCGATTCGTGAATTGGCGGCATTGGAAACCGAAGGAGGATGGTCTTGGGGTGGAGACTTTTGGATTATGCGAGTTATTTGGCTCATTTTCATGAGATACCGATGGATCTGTGTTAGGCTTCTGTTTGCAAATTAATAGATATCGTCAGAGCGCGAAACCGTAAGTTACGAAAGACACATATGTATACTAAACCTAGAAACTATCCAAGTTACAGTAAATAAGTGAAAAATCTTACCCGTGTAAGGTTCGCTTTTAAAAGACTTTTAAACTGATATATTAAACGAGTAGTTATGCCATTAAAAAAATATCTTCTGTATAATATAGTTCTGCATAGTCAAGCAAATTATTGCCCTATAGTATTCGTGCAGTGATTGTGAAAATAGTCAAAAGGAAAGTTGTAATAAAAAGTATCTAAGATTTTAGTTTCTCTTATGTTTACTCTGATTACTTGTAATTTCACGAGATAAAAAGTAAATCTTCCTCTATTCTCGCTTTAAGATAGCGGAAATGCCAGTTTTTTTATGCAAATCTGCTTGTAGCAAGGTTGTTTTAGTGATGACTTATTTTGAGGCAAATGCAGTTCGATTCTCCGTTCATAATTGTGAGTGAACTCATGCAGGTGCTTAGAAGACAGCATTATTCTATTATACAATCTCTTTCTAATCCCTTTTTACCATGAGACTTCTATGGAAAAGATTAGGTAGTATTATTCACTTCAGCGAGTCTGCAATTTTATTCATTCAGTATAAGACTACCTGTCTATCATTCACTTAATTATGATTATCTCTAGATCTCATAATCGACTACATAATGCAGGCTTGGTTGTGCACTTTATCCATTCAATTATTCACACATGTGGCATACAGGTATCTCCTGAAACTTTCGAGTTTTATGCGTTCTTCACTCTGCCATATTATAATAATACAATTAATTCGAGTAATACTCTGTGGTGATGCTCAACCTGATCTCCTCGTCGCTGAGATAATTCCAGATTTGATATAAGTAGCAAGTAGTCTGTTAATAACCTTAAATCAAGTACTGTTAGTGCCATTTGGTTGGCACAGGTTAAAACTCCTCTTGAATTGTGTGTTCCCCAACTTTAGCCATGTGATTATTTGCTAAAATTGT